GCAGAGGAAGAGTGGGAAATGAATGCACCTGGGAAGGTGATTAGGGACAGGTGTGAATGATTAGTGACTGGAGAGGCAGGCTGAGAAGTGAGTGAGGAAATGACAGGGAACACAGAATCAAACATCAGGAACAGAATGACAAAATGCAAGAAACAGAAAAGGAAATTAAAGACGTAGCAATACAAAGAAAACAAACAAAGGGGCAGATCATGTCAGGTCCCAAGAGGATTGTATCAAGCTGCGTTCACAAACATCAAGGTCATCAGCAGGTCAACTGCTGGTTTGGTTAAATCACAGTAAGGCTGAGCCATTTGATCCTCAACTTGTCCAAACCGTCTTCACATCTGTTTGTATTGATCAAATAAGTATCAAGCTTCTGCTTGTTTACGGAGGAAAAAAGGCATTAGAATCAATCTGCCAAAGATGAGATCGTCTGTGGGGGTGGTATGGGGATCCTCGTGCGGAAAATTTATTACTAATGAGCCAGAAATTAAAATTTTGAAGTGACATATGTTGCTATAAAACATATATCTGAAGGGTAATCAAAGGTTATTTTGAACTGACAATGTCAGACTGCGTTTTGTAACACTCACACTAATGTGGTTTCACAGAAACAGAGTGCTTGACTTCACTGGCTGCAGTCTAAACTGGTCTCCTTTCCCATCAACCACCACAAACATCTGAGGAACTGAAACGTTGTAGAGACTCTCCTTAAACACTGCAGCATTTAGTCTAAATAATTTGAAAATTTAATCAGAAAAAGTGTGATGAGACACAACGGCAATTGTGCTTTTCTGTATTTTTTCCTCACTTTGGAGCAGCAGAACTACTGACGCACACGCTTTTAAAACACACACACATACACAACATGTGTATATTTAGTTAAATGCACATATCAATGCTCCTTTAAATGTGTTGAAGAGAGAAACTTGAAATTATGAGAACAGGCTCATCCAGGAAAAAGCTGAACATTGTTATTTAAGACTTAAATCATTTGTCTTTAACTGAGAATGCAATTAATCAAAATGAATATGAAACGCAGCTTTGTGCAGCGAGAGATTTACACTAAATCAACACACAGGGCCTTTTTTCTGTGCACAAAGCAGTGATGGGAATATGCTGTGAGTTTATATTAGTTCATAGCAACATTCATGTGAGGTGTCATGACCTGCTGTGCAAAATAATCCTATTAAGGTCTGCTCGATGGGGCACACTCAAGGCCAGGAGGCTGCTCAGCAGCGATTTATGGGTAAATCTATTGTTCTCCTTCACAGCAGACTAACTGTGATATTCCATTTATGTCACTGGGAGCTCTGGCTTGGAAATCTGCAGAACGACACGAACATGGAGGCTCAGTTCATTTATCAGGAGTCCAAGTGGGAGAGTTTTGCGCTGCTGGAAGATGGTTTCAAACATTAAAACTTTATTTTGCACATGCATTTAACATTTGTTTTCTAAGATCAAAAGCATCAATCCTGGATCAGATAAGGCCATCACCACGATCATTCCAATGAGATGCAAGATTGTATATATATATATATATGAAATAAAAAAAATAACTCGACATGATTTGAGTTTTGCAGACAAATAAAAATCAATTAAGAACAACTGTCAACATCTGAGTTGACAAAAATCTGTATTTTTTTGTTGGCCATCAGAGAACACTATACCTTTGAGGCAGTGGGAGGGGTGCAGCTATCTGAAGCTAAATCATAAAACTCGCCACAGAGGCAGAAAAAGCAGCTTGTTGGTATGCAAAGAGAGACTCTCACACTGCGAGGCTGAGGCACACACCTGCTGTTAAGGTGTGTGCGTGACAGGCTTTGCGTGAGTAGAAAGACTAACAATCTTCTCAGTCATTACACCTGCTTTTATGTCTGTGAATTCTTCTTCTAGACGTATGACTGCAGGCGAAATGTTTTCATGTTTTCCCCTAACCCAGTTCTGTGAAAGTGGACAAAGAGAAGCTTACAACTGTCCAGCTGTTCACAAAACGACACAAAGTTTTGGACCCACAGAAGATCCTCTGATCGCTGCTGCTGTCTGTAATCTCTTCAGATCTTTGTGGAAATTTCTAAAGCATTTCAACCCTTCTACTCACAGGTGGGCTCAGTGGACATCTCAAAGACCCCCCACTCTTTGGATTTCTCCGTTATAAGGCTAATAGCTGTTTAATGTGTGCCACATCCTGCTGGGACCCCTCCTTTAAAGTCCACCTGTTGTGTTGTGACGCACACTCCTGCAGCATCAGTGAGACTGCAGGCAGCACACGTTTAAATAAAAACCCCTTCTGCTTCACGATCCATTCATCTACAGCACAGATCTCTTTCACTGACCAGGTTTTATATTGTTTGTTGTTTTGTTCAGTCCAGGGGCGATTCTAGAAAATGCTCTTTAGGGGTGCTCAGCCCCCCAGTTCTGACAATGGCTCTTGGCTTGAACGTTGTGATGGCTATTGTCATGAGAAGTGTTGGGGGTACTCACTAGGGTTTGGGGGGGGGGGGGGGTCTTCCCCCAGAAAATTTTGAATAAAGTAGATGCTTTTCCTGCATTTTGGTGTATTTTAACGGGTTGTTAAACATCTGTTTACCTACATAAGTTAACACTTGATGCAATAACTATTTTAAAGTTAATGGCACAACAAGAAGTAGCCTGACCAACAGCTCTCCTTGTGTGAATAGAGCACGCTCCGCTTCTCTCACGCACCCTAACCCCCGTCCACCATTTAAATGCTCAGGGTAAAGCATGTCTGAATTGCATGTTCCCCACTACGTTTAATAATTTTTCTGATAATTTTTCACGAAATCCCTCTGACTGCAAAGCATCTGTAAAGCAAAACCCTGACAATGTTGTTGGAGGACAATGGGGTGCAGGTAAGGGGAGTTTACCTTCGGGACAATTTGAGGTAACCAATTCAGTTGCTGACAAGCCTGCTGGACTGAATGACTCAGAGACAGGTGGTGAGGAACCAACTCGTGAAAAAAAAAAAAAAAATCATAGATTTTATTGGCCCGTTTAAGAGTGTCATCATTTATTTCAAAAATGTATTAAATGTTTTGGTGAATCTAAGGTTTGAGCACTGAGTTTCCTTATAAAATCCTAATGATGGTTTCTTAAATTTTCAGGATTGCTGAGTAAAAATGTAAGGGTGCTTGAGCAGCCCAAAAAGAGGCTAAAATTGACACTGGTTCAGTCTGACAGTATACTACATGCCTAAATGTTTCATATGTTATTATAAATATATAGATATTATCTATCAGCTGCTTAGTTTATCGTCCTATTTGACTTTTAGGGTAATTACAGAAAATATTAGCATAGCAGTATGAAGTTCCACACTACAACAATCAATTTATATTGAACATTTTATGATATTCATATTCTGGTTTTTACATTTTTGGATACACATTTTTTAATGATAAATATAATATAATAATAAATAAATGTAACAATGCATTATTTCTGCAAATGTCTTATTTTTTACTTGAACATTCACAAATATCTATCTATCTATCTATCTATCTATCTATCTATCTATCTATCTAT